CAGGGGGACAGCTTGAGGCTCCGTCTCAAAAAAAAAAAAAAAAACAAATAAAATGTACTTCTTTTACAGTGTGAAAAATAATTATAAACTTTCTCCTAAAAAGTCTCAAGCAACCTTGTACCCTTTCAAGTGAAAAGACCAGACACCATGGAACCTCCCTTCACTGCTAAGGAGGGCAGGCAGTGCTGACTTCCTCCTCCAGAGCCTTCCTGGCCCTGGGGAGAAGCAGAGGCACATGCCCACCCCGCCAGCCATGTTTGCATGCAGGCAGCTTCTCAGGCTGAGGCAGTCATGCTGCTTTCACAGCTCGAGGATCCTGCCAAAGGAGAGGATGAGGGCAATGCTGTCTCCTTGCTTCACTCAAGCAAACACTGGCCAATGTCCCCTGCAAGCCACTGTCACCTTCTGGTCCAGCCATACCCACAAGAGCCAAACCTAACGAGACCGAAGCACTTGCTTGCTTTCGGTGCCCTTCTTGGCATAGGCTTGGGCGCACTGACACAAAGGATCCTGGAGGAGCCCCTAGAAGACAGAGACTATTTTCATGTGTTCCCCAGCATCAAGCTGGAACATAAGAGGTTCCCAAAAGACATGGCTAGAGGGACATTTGCAGTAAGTGACAGGAGGAGAAGAACAATTGCGATAATTAAGAGGATAGGTATGGGAAAATCAAAGTGGGTTCCTATATCAGGCTGCTTTTTACTTAATGAACACTGGCCCCTCAATCGCCTATGATACATGAGGTGCTGGGCTTGACCTCACCCTGGGGTCCAGGAAAACCCCTTTCTAACTGAGAACTGCTTCTGCAGGAGCCCACAGCAAGCAGAAAGTGTCCGCAGCAAGAGCCTGCACTCAGTGTAAAGACCTCTGGGACAGGCAGGCATGCACACTGGGGATGATGCCCAACAAGCCAAGGAACTTCATAAGGCACCTGACACTTTCATCTGTGAATGAGAGAAGGTCCCATTCTGCACGCTGGCAACCGGGCAGCTCCGCTGCTCTGGGGACAGAACACAGGACGCTGAGTATGGGAATCAAGAGGCTGGAGTCAAGTTCCTCTCACTTAGTTCCTGGCTCTATGTCCAAGGACACAACAGACAGTTCCTGTGTGTCTAGTGAGACTGAAAGCCTTTGATCTCTCAGAGAACTACATGATGATGGCACCGATGGACCTCTGTGCAAACCAAACATGGCAGTCGCAAAGCACCACCCCCGTGTAAGGCACTTGTGGCTGTTTAAATTGAAATTAATTGAGATTAGGGCCAGGCGTGGTGGCTCACACCTGCAACCCCAACACTCTGGGAGGCTGAGGCAGGTGGATCACCTGACTTCATGAGTTCCAGACCAGCTCTGAGCCAGAGAGAGAACCCCTCTCTAAAAATAACTGGGCATTGTGATAGACGACTGTAGTTCCAGCTACTTGGGAGATTGAGGCAAGAGAATTGCTTGAGCCCAAGAGTTTGAGGTTGCTATGAGCTGTGATGCTACGGCACTCTACCAGGGCAACAAAGTGAGACTGTCTCAAAAAAAAAAAAAAAAAAATTGGGTGGCACCTGTGGCTTAAGGAGTAGGGTGCCGGTAGTGGGTTCAAACCCGGCCCCAGCCAAAAACTGCAACAACAAAAACAAAAACAGAAATTAATTAAGATTGGATAGAATAAAACACTGGGTTCCTCAGACACACCTGCCACATTGCAAGTACTCTAAAGCCACAGGGCCTAGTGGCTGCCCCAGTGGACAGCAGGGATCCAGAACTCTTCTTTCATGACACAAAGTCCTCCTAGATAGCCATGATCTAAAGAACTTAAGACTCCTAATGGCTATTGGCTTTTTCCAAGAACTCTACCCAAAAAGTGGTTATTGGCACTACGGATAGGATTAGAAGCAGCACTGCACCCCCCCTCCAAAAGTGAGCACCTGCACACAGGCACCTCCTTGCCTCCCTGGACACCCACAGACTGGGGTACAAATCCTGTATCTGCCCTTGTGAGCCCAAACTGGAGGAAAGAAAATTCCCTCCATATACAAGAGCAAGAACAGGAGTCTTTTGAGAGAAATTAAATACCTCCAAACCTAAAAGTCTAAAAGGGAAGGGCCAGATCAGAAAGAGGGGCTCTCACCCTGGGAGGGCAAGCCTACCTGCCCCTGGGGCTGTGGAGGGACCACAGCGCAGCAGGAGGACCACACACATCTGAGTTCACAGATGAAAGCGAAGCTGGCAAGGAAGAGCAAGGTTCTGGGAAATAAAGCATGGACCTGGAAGTGATCCCATGGAACTGGCTGCCTAAAAGATGCTGGGGCAGGAGGCCACACAAAATGACTTCATCCTAAAACCTGAACATTTAGTACAGTGCGCCTGGATCTGTGGAGCCCTGGGCTGCCTTATATCTCAACCAGAAGCACATGGAGCACATCTTCACGAGATTATAGAACAGGAACTCAGAGCACACGGCCATACTCACATTCCAACAATCACGGAGAGGAGCTCGGGGAGGCCCTGGGGCCCCGAGAATGAAGCCCAGTGCCCAGTAAGACACTGTCTGTGGGCTGTCTGTGTGAGCTGGTCCGGCTGGCGCACTTGCAGAGTACACAGATACCTGCACTGTGCTTTCCTAGGTGGGCAAGTATGCCTCAAAGACGCCGACAGGACACGTGGCAATCTGCTGTGCTCGCTGCCAGTGTGCTGAATTTTGGACAAGAATTCAGGTTACAGCTCAGAGTCTGACGTTCTTCATTACAAACACTGTTGATTCCCTAGATTTAATGGAGTGGAGAGAAAAATCAACATGCAAGCAGCTATCATTTTTGCTATTTACACCCCTCCTATTTTAGTTGAAACTAGCACTAGCCATAGTTTAACAGAACTTTCTGCAATGATGGGAATGTTCTTTTTTTTTTTTTTTTGCAAGTTTTGGCCAAAGCCGGGGTTTTTTTTTTTTTTTGAGACAGAGTCTCAAGCTGTCCCCCTGGGTAGAGTGCCGTGGCATTACAGCTCACAGCAACCTCCAACTCCTGGGCTCAAGCGAGTCTCTTGCCTCAGCCTCCCAAGTAGCTGGGACCACAGGCGCCCGCCACAACGCCCGGCAATTTTTTGGTTGCAGCCGTCGTTGTTTTGGCGGGTCCGGGCTGGGGATTCGAACCCGCCACCTTAGGTGTATGTGGCTGGCGCCTTAGCCGGTTGAGCTATAGGCGCCGAGCCCCAAGGCTGGGTTTAAACCCACCACCTCTGGCATATGGGGCCGGTGCCCTACTCCTTGAGCCACAGGCGCCACCCGACGGGAATATTCTTGATTGGTGTTGTCTAATATAGCAGCCACAAGCCAGAAGTGGCTGCCATGCATTTGAATGTGGCTGATGAGACTGAGGAGCTGAATTTTTCATTTATTTAATTTTAATTAATTTCAATGTAATTGCTACATGTGGCTAGTGGCTACTGAATTACTCTGTCAACTCAGAACAAAGTAAATCAGGAAACCACACACCATGTGCTGTAAACTAGACCACCATTATCAGACAGCTGCAACAGCACCAGCCTCAGACAACATTGCACTATGAAGCCTTTGGTGCAGAGCATGCCCCAGAGGCAAAAGGCACTGGCAAATCTGCCAAGTTTGCCCAAAATGTCAATCTGCTCCAGCCCCTGCCCCAAACCCAAAACTGTTTCCTTCAGTTTCAGCAGAAAGCAGATGCCAACCAAGTGTGTGTAGCAACTCAAGAAAATGCTCTTATAATGGTGGAATTGAGATTTGAGCCAGCACAAATGTGACATGAATAAAGTCATTTAAGAGAGCCAGAAACAGCTTAGTTCAGTCATAAGAGCCAATTATACACTCAGACCTCACGATCGACAGTGCTAGGCCATCAGTTGATCCTTCCCTGCCCCACCTGAACAGGAATGGAAAGGTGCTCAGAAGTCAGCTAGCTGGCCTGGTCAGGGTTATGTTCCCATCCCCTGCTCAGTGTGAAAAGATCTTAGAGGCTCGGTGCCTGTGGCTCAAGTGGCTAAGGCGCCAGCCACATACACCTAAGGTGGTGGGTTCAAATCCAGCCCGGGCCTGCCAAACAACAATGATGGCTGCAACCAAAAAATAGCCAGGCATTGGGGCAGGCATCTGTGGTCTCAGCTACTTGGGAGGCTGAGGCAGGAGACTCGCTTGAGCCCAGGAGTTGGAGGTTGCTGTGAGCTGTGATGCCACATCACTCTACCCAGGGGAATAGCTTGAGGTTCTATCTCAAAAAAAGAAAAGATCTTAGAGAAGCTGGGCTAGGGAACCAACTCCTTCAACAGAGCCTGCCTCCAGCCATACCACCTTTATCTGAAAGGAGATAGGTGGTGACACCAAACCACAAAACCAGATGCCCCATTCCTGGCTGACACATAGCATCTACATGAGTAGGGCCTTCAGTTCCAGGCCAAAGGTTGCAACCAGAACAACTATTGAGACCAGGCAGGTCACTACAGAGAGCCAAGCTGTCCAGGTGAGCAACCATGTACTGGACACCACTGCTCTGACCAAAAACAGTTACCCACTGCCCAGGTTTTCAGGGAGGATTTTATGTGAAATCTCTTGGCAACTGACTTAAATTCTCTTAATAGCTGTGAAGGCTGGCTCGGCGCCTATAGCTCAACCGGCTAAGGCGCCAGCCACGTACACCTAAGGCGGCGGGTTCGAATCCCCAGCCCGGACCCGCCAAACAACAATGACGGCTGCAACCAAAAAATAGCC